CCACAGCTCAACCCCAAACCAGCGGGGGAAGGAGGGGAGCTACTTATAAGGCTAATGTGTCACTTTCTTAATTTTCTAAACTATTAGTTATTCCAAGCACAGGGCCCATCTAACTCCAGAAGTCTAACTCTAAGCTAGCTAGATCCTTCAGGAAGCCTAAGCATAATATCCCCACTCAAGGAATTTATGGCTCACAGGAATATATGGGAATACAACAGGATTTCTATTATTCAATGGAAAACTGATTCTTCTACAAATTAGTGCTCTAAGGAGACTGGGCAAAGGAGGCCCTTGCTTTGTTAGGGGTGCTCAGGAAACACTCCTAAGAGGTGGAAGGCCTTATGGGGATCCTGAGGGATAAACAGATCTTTAACAGGAAAGGAAAACATGGAAGGCCGCAATATGCTCAGAATCATGAGAACACTGTATCACTTACGAAACGTTATCGTCTCCAAGAAGAGTTAGCATGCATATATTAGACTACGGTCAAGAGGGCTCAGAAAGGAGTCATGTTGAATGGAAGCAAAGGGCGTGTACTGGTAATGTCCAAGGTCAGAATCCAACAAGTGGCTTAACATGCAAATGCAATACAAAGGCCTTACCAAAATATCAAACTTCTTGTGTATAGAGATAATAGTTTTATTATTGAATATTGGTGTTAGGCTCTGGCATTTCTGCCAAAAATCCATGTCTGTGATCAGAATAAGATAAGATGATCTGAAATATTAGCCCTTCATTGTTGTGATTTGAATCCTCAAACACTCACAGGAAGACAAATTTTTTTTTAATCCCTCCCAAAGATAAATTCTAATCAAAATCCTAGAGATTATTTTTGTCTGCTTTTCTATTTCCTAAATCAAGAAGAAGAAACCCCTGGACCCCAAAATATTCTGATTCTTCAAGAAGACAGTCTCCAAAATTATTTTTAATACCATATGTAGTCTAGTAAATGTCAAGACATTTCAGAGTCTGTGATAATTAATAATGGAAGGCATAATGAAAAATATTTCCTATGAATGCTCAACCACATAGTCCTATTAATGATCATGATAAGAAATCTACCTCCCAAACCCACTACTGAATCATTTCTGCTTAATATAAGGTTAAGCTGAATCAGTAACTTGAACAAGTGAAGTCAACAGAAAGCAACAGAGAAGCTGGATTTTGAGGTGAAACCATTCATTTGTTCATTCAGAGACACTGACTGAGCACTAATCTCATACCAGACTCAATTCAGGAGCTGGGGGACGTAAAGGAGCCCCTGACTTCATGGAATGTTCACTCTAAATTCAACTCAATTTTATGAGAAATGTCAAATCATACCAAGAATTTCAACTTAAAAACTTTCCTTCCAGATATTAGTGGGAGATGCTTTCCTATAATTTATGTTAATGTGAAATATCTACTCTGAATTCAAAATGAATAGGCTAAAATTCTATATTTCCTCTAAAATTCACTCAGACAAGGACATGGACGTCTTTATAAATGATATGAAATTCAGAATCACAGAATTTAATGTTGAAGAATCTCTTGAGTTCATCTAGCCTAATCCCCATAAAGGAGCCCTGGTGGTGTAGTGGGTTGAGCTTTGGGCTGCTAACCACAGGGTCAGCAGTTCAAATCCATCAGTTGTTCTGAGAGAGAAGAAATTAGGCTTTCTGCTCCCGTAAAGATCTACAGCCTCAGAAACCCAAGTGGGGCAGTTCTACTCAGTCCTCTTGGCTCTCCCTGGGTAAGAATGAACCCAATGGAAGTGGGTGAGTAGATTAATGTGTACCTTCCATAGCATGTCCCAAGCCTCTCTAGCCAATAAACTCAAGAGCAGATGGGCCAACTGTCTAGTCCAGTGAGTACTAATGAATTATTTGTCCTAACTACAGAGGTAGGAACTACCACATACTAAATATACTAGATCTTTATGTTTAGTCTCCCGAAAGAGAAGGTCCTCATGAAGTTCAAGTGGAAAATGATGATGTAGTGCAACAATAGCCTTAGGAGGGCTGTATGCGAACCTTTATTGAATCCCTTTACTAAGGCTTCTTTGCCAATGAATTCGATAGATGATAGTAATTACCTGTTCATATGCCCAGAACTTCACAGCTGTCTCAGGGGCGATTTTAATGACATTTGTCCCATTTCCTCTCCAAAGGGAGCGGATGCCTCCTTCTTTCACCATCTGTCGAAAGCCACCAACTAAGTTCATCTTGTCTGACTTTGAGCCAAGAACCTAGATAAAAGTAAAATGATGTCAAATGTGGGCCGGGTGTATTTCAACTATTTCCAAAGTAACTGCAAATTAGCCTCTCTTTTCTGACAGTATTTATTAATTAAGATTTATTTGAAAATACAGAAGATTGAAAACATAGCAGGTCTTTGAACCGCCTCTTTCTGGTTGGAACCCCTGCTGAGGATTTGTATTGTCACCCTAGATGCATTCAATCAGAATCTACAGTTTAATAAGCTCGCCGGGTGATTCTTAAAGATGCTGTTAAGATATTAATTATGGTTACTATCTCTTGAGGGGAAATGCAAATTCCAAAGCAAGGAGCTGAGCCAGAATGGACTGGTTTGAAGCTCCAGTAACTACACAATGATGACAGGAATGATCATCATTTTCAAGTTCTGTATCTGAACCTCAAACTGAGAACAGAGTGTATTCTTCAGCCTGAAAAAGAAGACACCGGAGTCATGAGCAACGTGTGAATGATCATGAGCAATACGTGTAAGACATGGTGAACCAGATTAGACAAATATGAGACTATGAAACACCTATGGAACTCAAGCGATTTTAAGATAAGTGAAAAGGAAGTACTCTGTCAGTAAAATAATAACCCCTTCCCACAACTAATATAGTCATGAAAATATAAGTTAATCTGAGAATGATTTGTACATATCAGAGCCATAGATGCTGGGAGGAACACAGCTTGATGCCAAAAACAGCCATGTGTGCTTCCATAGCGTGTCCCAGGGCTCTCTAGCCAACAAACTCAAGAGCAGATGAGCCAACTGCCTAGTCCAATGCGACTAGTCCAGCAGTCTCAGTCAATGAATCACTTGCCCTAACTATAGACTAACACACTAAATATACTAGATCTTACTGTTGCCTACATAGAAACACTTGTTGAAAATAAATTATTAAATTTATAAAATAAATAAAAATAACCATAGAAAGCTATTCTTGTGAGTTTCAGCATCTACAAAATGAGTGACCACCACACACACAAACGCTAAATCTATTACTACATACTTAAAAAATACTTTTGAAGTTATCTCTATTCCTAATAAATGAACATTTTATTTGTCTACAAATGAGTAACATACCATAGATGTCACAGAGTCAAAATACATATTTCTGAAACACTTATCCTTGTCTTCGTGCATAAGGAGGCCCCTCGCACAGTACTGGAAGGGCCTCAGCAGTCTCAGTCAATGAATTTTATTCCCTTTCACTTCAGAGGAGAGATCGTTTCCTATCACAGTGTATTTCTTACTCATGATACCAGTTACAGTTGTTTTTCTAAATCCCAACTAAGCCTATATTGTTGCTAGAATATAAGATTGTTGAGTGAAAAATAACAAATCACTATTTGCTATAGTTTTCCTTCATAGCACTTAGAACAATTAACACATAGTAGATGCTCAGTAGCTACTTTTGAAATTAGTACATTGTAAGTACTAGAAAAACCAATCCAGGAATCAGATCTTTCGCTCTGTCTGCCGTGATGCAGCTGACTGAGCGGGCGCATTCCAGAATCCCACTTCTCAAGTCAGGAAGCTGTAGTCCAGAAGAGTCCATTTGATTTGCAATAAGCAAGGCTCACAATAAATATTGTGAGAAAAGAAAACCATTATCTCTGTGCCTAAATACATTTTGGTACTTTGGCACATACATTCTAAAATTTCACCATGTTTTTTTTCCATACAGAAATATAAGGACAAACATTAAAAGTAGTTGCATAACACACACAACTTTGAAAGATTTTTTAAGCTACTACTAGGTTCCAATCGTGTTTCCAGTATAGCAGCTACTGTCATATACCCTGTATCACTGAAGTCTTCCTTGTCACATATTATTATTCCAATTCCAGAGGGAAGGGAAATGAGGCCTTCAGCGGTTTCACGCTGTGGGAGAGCCACAGTCTTTGAGCCAGGGACACCCCCAACCCACTGCCACTGACTCCAGCCGCGGAGAGCCCATAGGACCAGGACCAGAGCTCCAAAGGGTTCCCGAGGCGGCGCCCATCGCTCGTCTTCCTCGTGAAGAGCTGCTGCTGGTGGGCTGGACCGACTGGGGAGGTGAAAGTGCTGCCCGGTGCTTAACCCGCTGCGCCACGAAGGCTCCTAGAATATACCCCATTCCTCCTCTAATCTGTTGTCAAGAAAAGAAGATTTCAATTCTCTGAGCCCCTGGTTCCCGACGGTTAAAGTGAAGTTCAAGCTTCTATCTCATTGTCAACACTAAAGAGTCCATGGGTCCCCACAGTGAGCCCCAACACACAATCCATCCCTGTCCGTTCTTCTCCGAGTCCTCTCCGCCCAGGCAAGGCTCCACTCATCATAAACAGCCAAGCCGTCGGTAAACCCACGTCTCTGTCTGCTACCCTCAGCTGAAAAATACTTTTCAGTCTATCCTGGCTTCAAGATTGTAGAACTCACAATATGCCACTTTTGACAAAGAACATCAATAGAAAGGAGTAATCTAAGGAGAATCCTTCAAAATGGAGATTTTGTTTTGTTTTTTCATTAAACATTTCAAGTATCAGAAGAATGACAAAAGCTAAAACTGCATTACTTACACACACTAACATTTTAAAGTTCTATAGAACGCACAAAACTATTTCATGGACTGAATTTAACGACATAATAGAGATTTTTTTTTTCAAGCTGTTAAAGGATATGCGTCAGAAACCTTTTCTTCAATTTCTTTTTTCAAGCACCATTTTTTGGTCTGCTTTTCTTGCAATGTCTGAGAACACTGAGCACTTGGTCACAAAGCTCACCTGCATCATGATTTTCAGGCGATCCAAAGGGGCGGTGCTGGTTCGAGAGACAGCGCCGGCCACGCCCCCGGCCAACAGCTGCCTCCACCACTGTCCAGAGAGCTTCTCATCTTCTGTGAATTCATCTGGGATCGCTAAACTATCCCCGATGTCAATTCCCTGTTAAACAGAAAACAGAATCCCATGTTCCTTCTGTTGAAAAATAGATTAACCCAGGAGTGTTTTTGTCTTAGGAGAGAATCATACGCTGTTTTCTACTTAAGGACAACTATTTTTCTTAGAAAGTACACAGAACCATTTAAAGCATGTATGGTATTATAAACATCTCATTCACTCTAAATTAGCTATACTACACATTCACAAGATATGAAAATTAATAGCAATCGCAAAATTACAAAACCAAGACTTACAAATTTTTCTGAATTGGCTGAGAGTCAAGTTTTCTCTTTATGGAATAAAAGAATCACATGCAGTAAATTCCTTTTAGCTATAGCCACTGCCACAATTCCTAATGTCAGGAAATTGTTCTCATATGTGATGATATTGTTTAAAAATATCAGCTGGATTTTTAAAAATTACTTCCCCTACCTCAAAAATCATATCTACATTATCTAAATTACATAATATGATTTAAGCATTTAAATTAAATTAAAAGTATGCATATGAAGACCTGTAAACTCATCTTTATGAAATGGCCTATACATCTGGCTTATAATTTTTTAAAGGCCATAGATTCATAAGATTTTGCTAATAGGGAGGTATTCTTATAAATCACCCTTTCAATATATTCTAAACATTATTATAAATTACTAGAACAGCTTGAGAGCAAAGCAAGTCTTATAATAATAGCTTTATAATTTTATTAGAGTAATAATTTCAGTGTGTAAAATATCATAGGTAAGAATGTAGGGTTAAGGGCAATGCTATGGTAATAACTCTCTCTTGCTTCACTTTACTATCAATAAAATGAGTATGTGATATGTAGCCTCAAACATTATGAATTATCTCCAAAGATGCTACAAGAGTATGATCATGTGAATCTACTCTGACATAGTATAAACTTTAATCTAGGCAACTTAACTCACTCTCACTGCCATCGATTAGATTCTGACTCATGATAACCCTGTAGGACAAAGTAGAACTGCCCTCTCTGGGTCCCCAAACTTAACTCTTTACAGGAGTAGAAAATTTCATCTTTCTCCTGCAGGGACGCTGGTCGTTTCGAACTGCTGAGCCTTAAGTCCAACAAGGAACCCACTAGAAAGGCGAGGCAACTTATAATGTCTACACAGTTGAAAAGACATCAGTCACTAATAATTTTACAAGGTTCCATAGAGGTCTAGGCCCTGGTAGTACTGGCAACGTGAACTCTAGGCTTCATTTAACCTACTCCTCTGTAGGGTTGTCGGGGCTGTAAATCTTTACAGAAGCAGACAGCCCTGTCTTTCTCCCTAGACGCGGCTGGTAGGTGTGAAGTTTGTGGTTAACAGTCCAATGTTTATCCTACAGCACCACCAGACCTCCTTAGCTTCACTTAGTGCAGTGAAATTCTTCCAATGTCTTTGTGTATACCTGTACCAATTTGACTGAAATACAGGAAGGAGGATATAAGAAAAGTACATGGCTGGTGAGCGGAGGGAAGTCCCCCAGAGAACCCCAACTGGCTTCAGGAGTAGACTGCACAACTTCATGTACACTGGTGTAGGTTACTAGAATATTGAAGAGAATTCATTAAAAATTCAAAGTTTTGGGGGATATAGACAGGATTGAAAGACTAAGAAGATTAGCAAGAATGAATTTTTAACTTTCAATGATTTTATTATAAGTAAGTACTCATGTCATTTGACCACACAGGCAAAAATCCACGGAAGGTATCACTGCCCATCCCTCATTCAATGGTCCAGGAGATCCAGCCTGGCACTGAGGCGCTGAGATTCACCAGACAGTTTTGAATCTTTAAAAGACACCATCCTGTTACTTTCAGGTCCCTAAGATACAATAAACAAACAAATCTATTGCCACCCATCATAGCATGACTGTAAGATAGACCAGACCTGACTCACAGAGCTTCCAGAACTGTCATCTTCATGGGCCCAATTGACATATCTTTCTCCCATGGTGATTCAAATCACCAGCCTTGTGGTCAGAAGCCGAGCGCTTACTTAAATATAAATAAAAGATGCACAGCTTATCCTCTTTAAATTCTGAACCTCTGGTATAAACAGATACCGTATCTTCAAGGTTAGACAGGGTTCTCTAGAGAGATAAAACCAGATTGCTGATAATTTTATATATGTATTTATAAAGATAGATATATAACACAAGTAATGAACTGTTATAAACAGATAGATAGATAGATAGATAGATAGATAGATAGATAGATAGATAGATAGATAGATAGATAATACAGGAAATGAACAGTTAAATTATACAGCAGTACAAATGGCTCTGTGCAACTCACTCCCATGAGAGAGTTGTGAGACACTAGTATTCCTTCAAGTCTTAAGGACCGTCCAGTAGTTCTCTGTAGAGAGAGAGCTAGGCTATCTCAGCACAGGCAGCAAAACAACCAGGCAGGTCACCAACTGTCAGTCCTCAGCTCCAGAGATGTAAATTTCAACCATATGGTCTTAAAGGGACCTCAACTTACAGCAACACAGTTCACAGGATAGGCATCCCACAGGTAGTGTAGCCTGTAAATTGAGGCACTGAACAAGCCAGGCAGCTGCCCACTGGTCCAATGATCAAAGAGCGAGAGACAAGAAAGGCGAGGCTCACTGAGCCATTTATCTCTCCGCCCTTCGATTAATCCCACTTGTGTTTATCGGCCAGGCTGGCACAATAAACTAACTATCTCATTCAGTCTTGAGGATTTTTTTAAGATACTCTCTGCCTGTGCATAATAGAACATGGGGTTACAGAACTACTGGGGACTCTCACATCCTGACCATATGATAGGAGACACTTGGGTGAATGCTGTACCTACGGCTGATAGCCCCACTCCAACTAATGGCAAATTAACACCTTAAACACGCTTACAGTGGAATGTTTCCAGAAACGAATGATTTCCTCAATGTCATTAGCGGGATTGAATAAGAAGTAGTCCCTCCATTCATTCCAGTCCACAGTCATGGTACCATCAGCATCAATGCTGCAAATGAAAAGACTCTGGTTAAAGATGGAACAAAATTGACAAACAAAACTACATTAATGGTTATTTTACAGGGTAATGGTTTCTTTTCCAATATCCTAGTTAAATGGAAAAAAAAGTCCCAAATCACAAGTATCGATTGTTGGAATGGCAGTAAGCATTTGGTGTTCTTGTTCCCACTGCCTCGCTATCAACGCATAGCAACCCTGTCGGGAAGAGTAGAACTGCCCCTATGGTTCCCCAGACTGTCAGCCTCATCTTTCTCCCAAGGAGTGACTGGTGGATTCAAACTGGTGGTGATGAACTCATTCTTGTTTGACGGATTCAATGGACAACAAATTTACAGAGCCCTCTCCTTGAACTATGGAGTAATATGATGCCTGTGTTAGCTCCTAATAAAATGGTTTGGAAGAAAAACTATGAGTAAATAAATGAAATTGTTAGTTAACATACACACCCATCCCCCCACCCCGAATAAAAGAATAGTTTTAACACTGCCAAACACTCAGTCAATGAGCTGTCAAGCTCAAAAGCTGAGGAGTTTGAGGAAGTTGTAATGTCTACATTCCTACTGCACTTTTCCTTGCACAGTCTCAGGAAGTATTTCCTAATGTCCTATTGTAACATTTGAGTGGGATTTTGACATATGTTCTCAGTTTCCTTCAACAAGTTCAGAAAATTCACAAGTGGTCATAAAATATCAAACTCTTTATGACTGGACCTCTTGAGTATTCAGAAATCCTGCTATCTCCTCTTCAACATTAAAAACAAATACATTTTATACTTAAATAGTGTTTGTTTTTTCCTAAGCACAATTCTGAATTGACTGTGCCTGGATTTATGACTGTCAATTCACTGCTGTACCCCCAGCCCTCTCAGTGTCAGCTCATTTGTTGAATGAATAAATGTCTCTGAAAAGAAGTTTTGAAGCCTCCTTCCAATGTTACTTCTGTCTCATCATCGGTGTTAAAATGATGATGTAACTCTTGACAAGAGTAGATGGCCTCCTCTTTCTCCCTCAGAGAGGCTGGTGGATTAGAACTGCTGCCCTTGCAGTTAGCAGCCTAATGTGTAATCACTGTGCCACCAGGGCTCCTAAATAAAGAAGTAGTTCAATAAAACTTACTTTCAAATATGCATTAATGTGTTTCCTACATGCCACTTTTTACTTTGAACCAATTATGTGAGATTACACTGAAAAAACTCACATCCCAGCACAAACACTCAATATATCCATGAGAGTCCTAATCACACTTTATGTCTATCACAGTGTTCTCAGTTATAATACATACAGCTTTATTGTCATCATTATTTTATAATTTAAGAATAAGTTTTGAGCCACTTGTTTTCATTGAAGATAGGACAATTGGGTTAACTGAAAAATGTAAATCACTTGCAATAAACATGAAAATGCTTTTGCCAAGAAGACTCAACTGGTTAACTGAATGATAGTCAAGATGAGCACAACAATGAACCCGTCCTCAGGTGCCACTCTCCCCACAGCATTGCAACCAGGCTGCCTCCTTGCTGGTCCTTACATATCTCAAGCACATTTCCATTGAGACCCTCCACTAGTTGTATATTCTTTCCCCAGTTATCCATAGGTCTGACGACCTCTTCCTCCGTTTCCAATCCTGGTTCACATGTTAGCTCAGCAAGGCTGATCCTAACTCCTTCTCGACACCACTGGTGAGCTGCTGTTGCTATCCCAGTCTCCCACCACACTCACCTTCTCTCAGCTCTATCTTCTAACAGAATCAATCATTTCCTAGGATGCTTCCTTAGTATTGGACCCCATTCCCAACCTTCTCCGCCTGCATACACAACCATATTCCAAAAAGGCAAGAGTGGTTTTTGATTCTGTTAACCGAAATAGCCCAAGTGTCTAGCACACTATTTGTACAAAGTATGTACTCATCGAGTATTTATTGAATAAATAATGAAACACCAAACTCTATAACTGAAAGTCACAGAACAGCCAGTATGGACAATCTGCTCCCGGGACAAAATAGTACCTTGCTGGGTCAATGAGCTAAAAAGGTTGAGCACCTCTTGCCATGTTTACTGGCTATTCCCCTTGTGTGAAATGTCTATCAATGTCTTTTGCCCATTCTTGACTGAGTTGTTTGTCTTTTTCTGATTTATTTATCATTACAGTCCTTCATATAAGGAATTCCAAACCTTAAAGTTACAAATTAGCAAATGGCTCCTCCTAGTGTCTGACTTTGCTTTTCCGTTTGTTTTTCATGACTATAATTAAATATTCTTAATTTCAATGTTACTGAAGCTATTAATCTTTTCAATTACAGTGTTACCTTTTGAGTCTTTTTGTCTTAAATAAGGTATTTTCTACTCAGAGTGATATGTATCCATTTTTTTCTCTCAACAGTGTCTGTAGTTTGTTTTTCTTTAGTGTCTATAGTTTTATCTTTTACATTTAGGTGGATTTTTCTGTATGGTCTAAGGTAATTATCCAATTTCATTTTATAGCAAATAAATAATGATTGTACAACCTCTCTTCTTCCATCTGATGTGCAAAATATTTGGACATGAGCCTTTATAGAGGTCTAAATACAGGCATGTGCATATGTAAATATATTTATATATAATGGTAGGGAAATAGATCCATATACATATACTTATATGTTAAGTATCCAGGTAGCAGACAGACATTGGGCCTCTACTCAACTACTTCCTCAATGCAAGAACACTTTGTTCTAATAAGCTGCCATTCCGTGATGCTCACCTTCCTGACTCAATTGCTGAAGACATAATGGGTGTATAAGCAAATGTGGTGAAGAAAGCTGATGGTGCCCGGCTAGCAAAAGATAGTGTTTAGTTTGAAGATAAACTAGAGATCATCTCGCTGAGAAGCAACAAAGCCCACATGGAAGAAGCACACCAGCCTGTGTGATCACAAGGTGTCAATGGGATCTGGTATCAGGCATCAAAGAGCCAGAATAAAACATCATATCACTGTGAATAAGGGGCAGCGCAGAGTGGAGACCCAAAGCCCATCTGTAGACAATTCAACATCCCCTTACAGAAGTCACAAGGAAGAGATGAGCCAGTCAGGGTGCAGTATAGCACTATTGAAACATACAAATTTCCTCTAGTTCTTTAACCCTCCCCCACCACACACACACACACTATCATGATCCCAATTCTATCCTACAAATCTTCCTAGACCAGAGCATGTACCCGGGTACAGATAAGAGCTTGAAACACAGGGAATCCAGGACAGATAAACCCCTCAGGATCAATAATAAGAGTATCAATACCAGGAGGGGAAGGAGATGATGGGGGGAGAAAAGGGGAAGAGATCACAATGATCTACATATAACCCCCTCTCTGGGAGATAGACAACAGAAAAGTGGATGAATGGAGACATCAGCCATTGTAAGACATGAAAAAAGGTAATAATTTATAAATTATCAAAGGTTCATGTGGGAGGGAGGGTGGGGGAAAGGGGAGTGAAAATGAGGAGCTGAAACCAAGGGCTCAAGTAGAAAGACAATGTTTTGAGAATGATGATGGCAGCAAATGTACAGATGTGCTTGGCACAATAGATGGATGATATATTGTGATAATAGCTGTATAATCCCGCAATAAAAGGATTTAAATAAAAATTTTTAAAAGGAAGTGGACAAGCTAGTCTATCATTAAAAAAAACTTGCTTGGTCTCTTTTTCTCTATATAAAATCCAGGATAGTTAAATCTATAGAGACAGTAAGTAACTAGATTAATGGCTTCTTAGCAGTATGGCAAGGAGGGAAATGGGGAATAATGAGTACCAGAAAGAAAACAAATGATCTAAAATTGATTGTATTGATGATTAAATATTAAAACTCTTTTTAATATTATTGAACTATTTATATGATATGTGAATCACATGTCAATAAAAGTGTTAAAAGCATTTGGAGATGCTATAATTTCCAAATATGAATGACTCTGTTACTGTGCCGGCTCTTATGATTCCCAGGTTATATTGTTTATTTCTGTAGTAACACCACTGGCTTAAGTATAGCTTAGTAAAAACGCTTGATATCTGATAGGGAAAACCCCTGCTTTTTGTTCTTTAAGACTGTCTTAGTTAGATGTCTGCTTCAAAAGGGGAAGAGGATATTAAGACCAATGAATGCAAAATGGAAGAAAATGTTCCAAAGTTCATTGTGGTGATTAAACAACATTTTAATATGATTGGACTTGTGTAATATGTTCATTACAGCCCAATAAAATCAATTTTGAAAAGCGAGATTGGCTTCATACTCTACCCTCATACCATATGCTACACTAATACCGTATCATTACCATAACAAAGAAACCTGTCCCCAAATGAGATCATAACCACAGGCATAGGGGAGAGGATTTGCAAAACATATTTTTGAGGGGACACAATTCAATTTCCAAGAGGAAGAGCAGTTCCAAATAATGAAATGATTATAACAGGTGGGATGTGGGGCGAGTTAACGAAGCAGAATGAAGATGAAATCTTAGAAGTTGAGTGAGACAAAGAATACTGAAGCTAGATGAATATCGCCTACTTGAATATTAAAGTTTTCTTGGAGTTAAAGAGAAAATGAGGGTTTAACAAAGTGTTCAGATCCTTACTATATGTTGGAAGAGAGAACTAGAGATGAAAAAATGAGAGGGAATAGATAGCACAATGAAAGCCTACAAGAGAAATGACTTTTTACATGACAGCAAAAGATAAAGATTTACCTGATACACGTGGTTAGGAAGGATGACCCTACCCACAGCTACCACTGAAAAGGTGGAATTGAGGCTACATTTCAGGTAAGCATTGAACTGCTAACCCCAGCACAGGGTCAGACATGGCCCAAGGGTGGGGTATTGAGTTTGGATATTTCAGTTAAAGGACTCCTCTCTTATTAATAATAAAAGCCCGACAGTACAAAAGAGATACACAATTCATTATTCATCAAGAAAATGCAAATCAAAAACACAAGGAGATAGCTCTCCACAGCCATTAAACAAAA